GAAGAAACATACCGGGTGTTCAATTAAAAATTTTCAATCTAAATATCTTGAAAACGACGCATTTCTGAGAAAAATGTTACACACAAGAGTATGGAAAATATTTCACAAAAAATAAAAAGAAGATATAAAAGTATTTAAAATACTTATTATATTGTTCCCGAGATATTTGTAGTTTTTAAGTGAACAAATCTGCATAATCAATAATATTTTGATAATTTTGCACATTGTAACAACAATACGGTCTGTATTTCAATTTTTCATTTATCGTCTGAAGGCTTAATTTCTTTTTCAATTGTATAATTCTAGATGGTATCGTACATTTCTCTATTTTGCATAAATATTCTTAACCTTGCGCCAGCGAATTTCACTGATCGAATAAAATCGAAAACAGCTCGGTATGCAAACAGCGAGTTAAATTCCGAACGGTAAAAGGCGAACGGTTCCCAAGCGACCGTATCGCTTCAGCACATAACGAATCATTGAAAAGCACTTGCACGGGCGAGCAATAAAAATTTATGTTTAAAAAGTTGCTTTGTGCGGAACACTTTCTCGCCGTACGGTACATTCCTTCGCCGCGATGATTCAACCAAATCAATGCAGGCAGGTCAACGATCGCATTTGCTACGGTTATTATTTTTATTTAATTTTTAAGGTTCCATCGATCGTCAAGAGTCATTAGCAACCGCGATTTGATGTGCTTGATTTTCAGATCTAACCCTTTGCACTCGAAGCTATTTTAACTGAAAATATAAAATCATTTTTCTAACTTATAGTATTTCTATTTCTTATGACAAAATGCATTTTATGCATATGAAATTGACTCTCGGCACTCGCACAACAGTTTACACTCTTAATAATTTTTCAAATCTAAACTTTGTCAATATCAAAATTATCTTAAAAGGTGATATGACAAATTTGAGTGGTGCCTCAGAGTCATCACTCGAGTGCAAAGGGTTAAATTTGATTGGTAAGTCAACATGTTTCGGAGTTTATTCTGGTGTCGTTCGAGAGATTCCTTCAATAATTTTATAAATGACAGAGATGTGGTAAGAGATAAAAAATAAAAATAGAATAGCAATAAGCCAAAGCTAAAAAATACAACAAAGATAATAATAAAACGTTAAGTTAAGCGAAATGGATACACTTCAAGAATTATATATATATGATATAAAAATATATCTATAATATAAATATATATAATATTTATATTAATATTTATATAATATAATATTTATTTATATTTATATTATAGATAAATTTTTGGTTTAAATTTATATTATATTATTTATATTATGTTAATTTATAATATTATAAACAAAAATAGATATTAAGTTTGTAAAATGATAACTACGTATTAACGAGAAAATATTTGATTATGTACGGATATCAGTGTATCAGGACAGAACAAAATTCCTAGCACATAAAATAAAGATTTTGGAATTAATAATTTTATTTAGAGATCTTAGGACTTTCTTCTGTGGTATATTGGGATAGGTTGTTATTATTAATGTTACTGTTGTTAAATCGAAATCTCTCCTCGAAATGCAGTCTACCGCTTTGCGGTACGTTTCTCGTAAAAGTGCGCGTTCCCGTCCAAATAGAAAGTATCGTAAACGTACATATTCTGCGAAAATAATCGGACGGTTCGTATTTTACCTGAACAGCCGGAAGAGGGGAGGGGCGAACGCGAATATGAACGCACGCCGAGAAAGGTTAACGACTTCGAAAAAATCGGTGACGTTAGCCATATCGTGTGCCGGAGATGGCACGACGAACGGGAAGAGCATAGTGCGTCGATTTCGCTAAATCCCCGTGAACGCTGCGAATTTGGCGAATAAATATCTATGCTTCGCAAGTCGATCTAAAAAACGTAATTTCACGAGATGGACGACCTACCGCCGCATGATCGACGCTTGGCTAAATCTGTTGGATAAGTTTTTACCGATCAAGTTACAGATTTCGGGCTGAGAACAACTTTGTGCGCGTGTATCTTCTATAATTATCTTATAATTATCTATAATTAGATTATTTAATCTAAATATATTATTATATAATTATTATATAATTATTATATAAATATATAAATTATAATAATCTAAAATCGAAGTGCCAAACGTTATTTAACACTATTTTTACCGATTCTTTGTATTGTTCGATTTATCGAATTAATTTTGTGATGTCTATTCAAAGGTCGAGAAGTAATTACTAGATGCAGAATAAAAATTTTCTGCATCATGTTTATGAAACAGAGAAGTCAAATAGAAATTTCTTTTCTCCTTCAATTATTTTAATAAGCTGAATATCTAATATATTTTGTAAAATATTGTCTAATAATTATATCATCTAATGTAAGCTGAATAACATAATATTTTAATAAGGGGAATATATAGATATTTTTTAATTCTTTAAATTCTTTTCCTGTTTTATATTCGACTCGCT